GGACAAATACATACTACAGAACTAGAAGTAAAGATACCAATAAAAATAGGATGAATTAATCTTTTAGTACCATGTTTTATAGATAAAAGTATGGATATAAACCTTCATATATTATTAGGAATGAGTTTTCTAAATTGATTAAAATATTACAGTATAAGAAGAGAATGATTATATATGACTCATAATGATCAAACTATATTATGCAAAAAGAGTAATGCATAATCAAATAAGTTTTCCATTAGCTATATATATACAAGTTACCATTATAGAAACAAATATAACATGTGCATTGATTGACACAGGAAGCGATATAACAATATTCAAAAGTTTTTTAATAAAATCATGGAATAATGATAATAAGATAAAAATAACATGAGTAACAGGAGAAAGTACCCATATAATAAATAGTGCTAATAAAATTAATATAATACTTGGAAGTAAGCAAATAATAGTAAACATAATATATAATTATGATAAATTAGAATGTGATATATTATTAGGAGATGACTTTATACAACAATTTCTATATTATAAACAAAGTAATTATATGATAATGTTACAAACACCTTGTGCACATTTATTAAAAATTTTAAGAGANTAAGTCTTGGAAGTAAACAAATAATAATTAATAAGATATATAGTTATGATAAATTAGAATGTGATATGTTATTAGGAAATGACTTTATACAACAGTTCCAATATTATAAACAAAATAATTATATGATAATGTTACAAACACCTTGTGCACATTTAATAAAAATCCCAAGAGATTTTAAACCTTATAGAGTTCAGTCAACACAGCGTGGTGATAAATGAGGAAGATTTATGTATTTGGCCTGGTCAATTACGTATTTTAAGTTATCCGTTAAAAAATCTATATTACCCTTGATGAAATGAATTCTTATATATTGCAAAAAATATCCTTTTTCTTTTTACAATAGTTCTAAAACTAGTTTTATCTTATATTTCTTCTATTTTGAATTTCAATATATAAATTCATTCTATGATCTAATAAGTTAGAATAATCTGTAACATATTTTTCTTCGAGTCTATTATATTCTTCGGATAATATAATTATATTTTGTAGTTGAGAAGTAATATTTTTTATTTTTTCTAACAATTTTTCTAATAAATAATCTAATCATTTAATTGTATATCCTGACATCTTAAATATCAAGCTATGAATACAAACATCATGATAATTAATCCCTACGATTCTCTAAGATCTTAGGAGAATACTTTCTAAATTTAGCAAAAAACTAATAGTTTTACCTTAATTTTGATCTGGGTATTTATTCTTAGAACCTAATAACCTTCGAACTCTGAATATGCAAACCACTCCCTTCAACGGCCTATTGCCTACACGAGATCTTTGATGTTTCAGCTTCTTGCTCTCACTGTATCTTTTCTAAAGAATAAATTTCTAAACTTCGATTAAATAAAAACTCTCTTTATTGCTAAAGTAAGAAAGAAATTTCATATTAGATCTTTCAAGAATCTATGGGAATGGAGTTTAGAAATTCATATTTTTATGAAAGAATTGAAATATTATTGATCTATTCAAGATTGATACAAGATTTAAAAAACAAAAGAGTTTGACTATCTCACAGATTGAGTGCTCAATTCATTCTTTTTTTCTTCTAGCCCGAAGGCCTCCATTTATACCTCTACATGAGGCACGGTTATTAACCCTTTTTATGTCACTGCTTACATCACAGCTCTATTATTGTAGATAAGTGGAATAGCCAATAATTAACCATTTTTATGTCACTGCTTACATCACAACTCTATTATTGTAAACAGCTATCTCCTTTATATCACATCTCCTCCTTATTATTTTTGTCGACAAGTAAGGCATTCCCCTAGTCGACAAGCTTCCTGTATTGTAGAGGGGCTTCCATTGATTTGATGGGTATCAAACTTTTCAATGTATTCTTTTAAAATTTTTGATTTTTCTCTTCCATTGTTGGTCAAGAGAGTCCATCCTTCATACTAGCATAGACATTTGAACTTCTTATCATATAGTTTTTGGCGATATTATACAAAACTTTCATTCCCAAAACTCTTCGGGATTTTTTAGAAAAAATATTACTTCTCAACTACAAAATATAATTATATTATCTGAAGAATATAATAGATTCGAAGAAAAATATGAACAATATGTTACTATTTATTCTAACTTATTAGATCATAGAATGGATTTATATATTGAAATTCAAAATAGAAGAAATATAAGATAAAACTAGTTTTAGAACTATTCTAAAAAGAATATGATATTTTTTGCAATGTATAAGAATTCATTTCATTAAGGGTAATATAGACTTTTTTATGGATAACTTAAAGTAATTGACCAGGCCAAATACATAAATCTCCCTCTCTTAATGCTATGCAGTAACATCACAGTTTCAAGGTAAGACCATGGAAAATTAAAGTGCATATTGACCATGATGGCAAAAACTAACCTGCATTTATCTCATTCATGGCTCTCTTAACCTGAGCATCTGGCTCAATGTCCACAATCAGGGTCTGCACTATTTCATATCCATAAGCAGACATGGCCTGCAAAGTACCAAGTGCATAAAACATTGGGTACGTTAAAATTAGTAAATGAGCTAGACGTGAGCTTTTGCTGTCAAAGAGAACGTTACCTTTTCAAGTTCATTTTCAACAGCTTTGGCTATGTCATTCTTCTGTTCGAAGGTAGAATCCAAATCTAATCTTGGTACACTTGCCCTTATGACTAAAATATATTAAAGGAGAGTGAGACTAATTTTGGCATAAAATTCAATTCATTAGTCATCAGCAGATAATCCATCATATTCCTTCCATCTAAGTTCATATATTGGTGATTTGAGCTTTCCAAGCAAAAACCCATAGATCAATTTAAGTCAGTTTGAGCAAGCAGCGTTCAAGTTTCACTAAACAAAGAAATGATTTCAAGGAGATAGAATGGTATTGCTATGATGAGAGAATATATAACTGCAATAGAGCAGTAGCATCGAAATGGAAACTCCAGAGACACTTCAAATAATTTGACATCGACACTATGAAAATAATAAGAATCTTGAAGATATATGATGCAACTTGTCTAAAAGGAAACATAGACTCAAACAATGAATCTAACAAGTATGAGTTCATGCACAGATTGAGAGACCAAGTGTTACCCTCATGCGTGCAGTAAAAAGGCTGAAAACCCACTCTCCTTTTTATTACCACATTTTTATTTAGTTCTTATTGACAATAACTCATCAACTCGTGTTCGGAACAAGAATATTGAAGTTCATTCCTGGTATCAATTAGCTTCAAAATCCTCCTCCCAAACTTTATTGGTGGATTTCGTAAACAAAAATGGGCGCCAAGGGAATTATCAAACTCAATATGTGCAAGTATGTCAGATTTTTAAGTTCTTTAGTGAGGATTGAAGGTAACTCTTCTGTGCTATGCAAGCTACAATAACTGATTTTGTATTCAAGTGTTGGTAAAGGATGAAAACATGCACCGAGATAATTGATCCCTATTTAGGTCAATAAGGTAGGACTACCAGTTCTAGATAATCCTGTGCTTCTATTTTTCCACACAAACGTTTAAAGAAAATAAATTCCCAACCATACCGTCGAAAACGTATGCTTGGATCTGTTCCTTTGTGTTAGACAGCTTGTAAAATGCATCAGCCGCTTTTTCAGCCATGGCTCGATATTGGATTGATGCAACCACAGTCACAAACACATTATCCTGAAAAGCCATAGCTCTCGACATAACTAGCAGAATAATAACGTAAAAGAGGTCTCCAATTTGTGAGTTCTGCGGTTTTACTTTTATTTCTTCATTTGGTAGGGGAATATTAAATCTAGAATAGAGAAAGGACACTTTTAGAAAATAAAAAAAATGTGCAAGTTCATTGCCCTCTAATTGGACGAGTACGTGAAACATCAAAAAATTGTTATCCCATGTAATTTTAATCATTGATTCCTAAAAACAATGATGCAACAAATATTGATAAATCATGTGTCTTACTAATATTTAAAGCAAAAGGTGACTATATACAAGCGATTACTCCACACTTGTCGAATAATTAGAGTGGCATGTATGGAAATAACATTTAGGGTCCATTCGATTGTAAGGGTGGAAAATGGATGGAAAAAAAAACGAATTCCAGAGAAAATAATTGCCTAGAATTTGTTTTCCAGGAAATTATTAATTAAGTGTGTTTGATTGGTATAATTTTCCACCCGGAAAATTTTAAAATTTTAGATATTTTCGTGTTTGTTTGACTTTGTTTTACATGAAAATTGTCCATTGAAGTCATAATTTTTTTCACAATTGGTTATAAAATTTGTTTCCATTGCCAAAAAGTAAAAAAAAAATTCCTAGAAAATCATTTTTCATCAAAGTTTAATGTTCGTTTGACTTTGTTTT